GAAACAGATGAAGAATATCTTTATGAAATGCAGGATATTATTGACCATCTACCTAAACTTCCTGAAATCCAACAACAAAAGCTTACTATTCCAGAATTCGATGAAATAGAAGTCAAAGCAACTGACTCAGTAGAAATAAAGAAGTTCATACGAAAGGTTAACTATGAGTTTCTTGGATTTCATTGCAACCACAAAGTCATGGACAAAGATTGCGACATGGTATATAAGAACATCTCTGACATATATAAATCCGGGGAGTTTAAGACCTACGACAACTTTGTTTCATTAGTTGCAAAATGTGTTTGGGAAATAAGAGATAAAGATAGAAGAGGTAAGGTATGGAATGAACAGATAAAACCAGCAACTTTTGAGTTAAAGAGAGCAATTGACGCCTTAGTCATACTAGCAGGTAAGGTTTCAGAATATAACGCAAAAATGAACCCACAATGTTCTAAATGTAAAGCAGCAATGAGGAAATATAACTACTCCGTCAAAGAGATAGAACGTATGCGAAACGACTATGCTGACTTAAAGAAAGAAGCAGAGAAACCAGCAGAAGATAAAATGGACATGTTGACATTTCTAAACAAAAACTATCCAACAGCTGACGATTTCCTTCTATCTGACGTCAAGAAGAAATATAAAGAAACTTTCGGTATCGTTAAAACATTCGATGTACTAAAAGAAGAAATTGAAGCTACGAAACTGTTTAGAGTCTCACGAATTCACAATGTTTACCATGTAAAACGCTTATAAAATAACTGGGGTAGAAAAGAGGGTAGAAGACAGGTTAGATCTAACCTTCTACCCTAAAATATATTTTTATTGAAAAATGACCAAAATTCTGAGTAAAATGACATATGGAACACATACTTTTTCAGTAAGGACATATGGGGTGAAAAAAGAGGTGAGAAAACAGGTGAGATCTCACCTCTTCACCTAAAATATATTTTTGCCTGATTTACACTCATTGACGAAGAAATACAACAACAAAACATTGACGAAGAAGTCTTGACAAAACATATACGATGAAATCTATTTCCTGTGTTGTTGTCAAAATGTCATGTTGTCACCATTTTCAAAAAGATGTTAGTTGACCTGGTGACCTGGTGACCTGGTTCCACCTAAAATATATTTTTGCTGAAAAAAATGACCAAATTTCATGATATAACTGTATTTTTTTTACGAAGAGAACTTTTGCACTTCGTCAAAAAAATGACGTTTACCATATACTACGCTTATGAAAATCGTGAAATTTTTACGAAGAGAACTTTAACACTTCGTCAAAAAAATAGCGTTTACCATATACTACGCTTATGAAAATCGTGAAATTTCTCTAGCCCGATTTTTTTCGGCCTTGCATAAAACTCATGAAAATCGTGAAAAAATGCGACCCCGACTTTTACAGGGGTCACCTAAAACACATGAAAATCGTCAAAAAAATCCCTGAAATCATGAATTTCCTCAAGATAGAAAAAATAAAAAATTAACGCTAGTTTTTTTAAAATATTTTTTTTTTATTTTGTATGTAAGAACAGGAAATGACAAACACTGAGTTTGAAACAGTTAAAAAGATAGACAATGAGACCAAAGTGGTTAGAATAGGTGATTTAAACGTAAGATACTCAAAGAAATACAAGAAATATTCTTTGTCAGACATTTTAACACCATCTGGAAAGAGAGCAAAGGACTGGGTTAGAAATGCTTCTAGTCAGAAAATTTTGACAAGAAATCCTGAGCTTTTGATATCGGTAAGATTTCATGGAACTACAGCATATCTTATAGACAAAAGTCTTATACCACTAGTTTTGTTCTGGATTGACCCAGTTGTTGATATAATTTCATAACATATGGTTCATTCGATACTGAACGTTGCAGTGAAGGCTTACTTTATATCGTTCAGAAACCGAAGGACTTCAATACAAAGAGATATAAGATAGGAAGAACATTTAATATAACTAAAAGATATGACAGTACAGTCAATAGAGTTAAGGTTGTGTTTGTAAATGATATGAGAGCTGCTGAAACAGAACTGCTTGAAAAGTTTGAGAAAATGTATGGTGCTCCCACGAAAGGTAAAGAAACGTTTGAAGTAGATGAGATAGATAGTGCTATAAAATTATTTGACGAAGTTGCTGAAAAATACATGTAAAGCGTTTATTTTTGGTCTTTTATACAAGATAGAAAATAACGCTAGTTTTTTATAAAATATTTTTTTATTTGTATGTAAAGACAGTAATGTCAACAACAGAGAACACAACAACTGCTATCGTTCATGAAGCCATAAGTGAAGAATATGAGTACATACAGTATAACAAACAGTTACGTCTCATTCGTTCGGTCAAAGACGATATGTACCAAATGCAAAGTATTTTGACAGCATGTTTTGCTCCAGATACTAAACATACAGACGATTGGTTCAAAAACCAAAGCACACAAGAACTTTTGAGCGAAGCACAGCGAGACCGACTTTTTTCGGGGTCGCTTAAAACTCATGAAAATCGTAAAAATTTGCCAAATGGTTTGAGAGGTTGGTATGTACATAGACTATTAGTAAATGCTGTTGCAATGTGGGCTTCGCCTCGTTATGCTTGGTATATTTACAGACTTCTTGACGAAATTCATAGACAAGAACGTGAAGAGATGGAAAAGAAACTTCAAGCAAAAGATGAAGTCATTGAAGCAAAAGACAAAAACATACAGAAAAGAATACCACGTTCGGTACCAAAAGGAAAGGAAAAGAACTATAAGTATATGATTTATACTGAAGAGATGGAAAATGAAGAAGACAGAGATATGGTTATGTTGCATTTAGTCAGAAGAAACAACAAAAGCTTTTACGACCTTGCTAAGATTTACAAATCTGACAGAAATTGGTTCTATCGCGAAAACTTACCGATTTCAATGACCCCAAATGAAGATGTGAAACAAATAGTTCAAGATACGTTACCTCAAACACACTATGATATGAAAGGTTGTACAATTCTTACCTTCAAAGAAGACTTACCGCTACTGAAGGAAAAAATAAGAGAGTATTTTGACAACTTCAAACAAGTAGAGTAGATGAACTCTTTATTTTTCAAGCTTGACTTTTTACAATTTGAACTTTGTTCGCGTAGATGTGAATTCTGAAAGAAGTATGAGGGTCTTGTATGACTTTGTACTTCTCCCATAGTTCATGTCTGTCAAACTTACCTGCCATGGACTCTTTCATAAGTTCCATGAAATCGTCTTCGGACAATCCAGGGAAAAGTATGATATCAGTAAGTATTCTTTTAACATCCTTACTTAAACTCTTTGCTGTCTGTACACAAATGACAACTGAGATGTTAAAGTGTCTGAGCTTCTTGAGAATTCGACACATGTCTTGTTCTCTGTTCTTTAACAAAGGATGAGAAGCAAAGTCATCTAAGATAAGAAGACATCTGTGAGGGTAAGTCTTCCAATCGTAAGATTGCAATTTCTTCGAAATGTATTCTATCTCTTTCTGTTTGTTTCTGAAGTGTTTCTTCTCTAATATTCTCTGCATTTCCTCATTTGGGTCTTTAAACTTCGAATTGACATACTCATTTATAGCATTGTACTTCAAAACTCTTCTTTGGTACTTCTTTATCCAATCTAACAACTCAGTATCCTTTATACATACTAACTTAGACTTTTTTATAATATCTTTGAACGAATTTACGGTTTGGTCAAATTGACCAGAAGTACTACAAATGACTACTAACTCATAGAATGGGTTCTTCTCATCTAGTTCTTGTTGTTGTGCAGCCATTTTAAGATAAGTGAAAGTCTTACCCGACCCAGGCGGTGCAATTAGACCTGTTATACCATTCTGAGCAAATAGGAACTTGTCATGTATGGGTTTTATCTGAGCATTTTCTAACTTCCTCTTGTTCTTGTTTAAAACATTCTCAAATTTCTTGTCAATGTCAGCAAACTTTTTTTCTAACATATTTTTAGAAAAATTAAAATTTTTATCTTTTTGAAAATGTCTAGCGATTTCGCTATCTATATTCGAGACAAGCTTTTCGACAGCAAAACATCTGTCGACCATAAAATCTTACATAGTGTAAACAAGAAAGGGGAATTTGTTCTAAAGTTCTGTTTCTGGGAATATGACAAGAACCATAAAACATTAAGCAGAGCAGTCTTAAAATTTGTCAATGACAGACTTGTTGACAGAGATGACGCCGATTGGAAAGATGAAGTCCAACAAAAGTTCTTAGAATGCAAAGAAGACACATGCGCTGTTCTTGAAGATGAAATAGGAAACAGAATAGAAGAGCTATTAAAGGACAAAGAACTTTTACATAAATATGGTTGCGCCAAATTTGACATAACTCCACCAGAGAAGAAGAAGAAGAAGAGAGAAAAGAAAGAAAAGAAAGTAGAAGAAGAGAAAAAAGAACCTGAACCAGTTCCAGAGAAAAAGAAATTTGACATGTAAAAATAAAATTTTATTTTTAGAACATTTCTGGGTCAATGTCAATGTTCTCTTCCTCTTTAGGAGCAAACACTGGCTTAGACTCTAAAATCTTTTTACCCAATTTACCTTGAACTTCAACTATCTTAGACTCATAATATTCATAGTCGTCTGCTTTCTTTGGTTCATAAGGTATAACAAGTTTGTATGCTTTGCCTTCTTTAAGGTTTGAAAACCTTCTGTCAAAATTTTCTTTGACTGCTAACAAACCTTCTATGTCTAAGTCTTCAAATTTCGCACCATTTTTAGTCACAATAGCAAACTTAACTGGTTCGATGTTCCAAACTTTGTCAAATGTAGACTTTTCAAAATGGTAGAAGTAAACATTCAAATAAGCGAATGGGTCTAGTTCTTCTTTGACTTCTGTCATGTACTTGTTGACTGAAATATATTTCGTCATCTTTTCTATCGGATAAAAAAATATTTTTTTTAAATTTACTCAGAAAAATTTTTCTTTGTATATACGCCGTTCTGAACATCTAAAAGATTTTTGACATTTGCCAAGAATGTTCGTTTAGAAGCTGCCATATAACCATACTCTTGACAATATTGTTTATACGAGTCGTACAATGACCTTTCATCTAAACACTCAAAGTTAGTCTCATCTATAAACAGTTCATATACACTCTTGTTTGCTTCTAACAACGTTTGTCTTTCTTCGGTATGTGGAATTTGTCTTGGATTGAACTTTGAAATATCTAATGTCATGAAATATGAGAACAAGTGGTTGTAAAAGTTAGGTGTCAAAGTTTCTGCTAAGTCGTCAAAATATTCTGTATCTTGCATATGAGAATCTGACGTTCTGACAACTACATATCTTCTGTCAGAACTTTCTAACTTCATCGGAACAACATTGTTTGAAACCATGACGAAGTTTGCAACATTTTCACAAACTCTTTGGTCTTTATATTTTCTTTCAACAACTCCAACTTTGTCTGTTATAAGACTCTTCAAAGCATCTGAGTTCAAAACTTTTGTTGTATCTATACTTTGAAGTTCGTTACATACTATAAGTTTCATATTCTCTATTGAAGAGTTAAATTTACCGCAGATGTTTTCTAAGTTTGTCATATTCGGGTTCGAATAGCCCTCTAACAGTTTGCATAAGATATCTGTAAAGAAAGTGTTCTTACCAGTTCCTTGTTTTCCAATTATAATGAGAGCAGTTTCATTTTTAGCACTTGGATGTTGTAAGATGTTTGCAAACCAACATAAGATATACTCATAGACTCTTTCGTTTCCATTGCATATAATTTCTTTGACATGGTCTAACCAAGCTTCTATAACATTTTCTTTCCATTCTACTTGTTCGTATTTATATCCAGTGAAGATAGAATAGAAGTTTGGAGATGGTGTATAGAACTTTATACCACGAACTGAAAAATCTTCTAACTTTGACAATAAGATATCCCAAGCATCTAACATCTTCATACCAACTTGTACGACTTTTATTTTCTTAAGTTTCTGTCTACATTCTTGTTCAGACACTATTGTTGCTCTTGGTTTGTTAAAGACAACATCCCATTCTTTCATGACATAACATTCTGGGGCAGAGTCGACATAAATGACTAAACGTTTCAAATTCTCGACTGCTTTGTTATAGTCTCTAAATGGACACATATTTCTGAACGCTTGGAAGTCATCAAAATCTGAAACGTCTATTCTGTACATTTTTATAAAAATAAAAAAAAAATATTTTTTTTATTCTTGACTTTGTTGTTGCATTTGTTGCATTTGTTGTTCTTGAGCTATTTGTTGTTGAAGTTGTTCTTGTAGTACAATACTTTCACCAGTTGCATCTTCCAATTCGAAACTTTCTGCCGTCATTGACAAATACATAGGACATAAAAGTTTTACAGGAACAAAGTTTGCGTCAACTAAGGTTAAGTTTATGTTTGCTAAAGTGTTTGAGTTTACTAAAGCTGAAAACTCTGCATTCGAATGAACAATAGGCAAACCAGCAGAGAAAGTGTTGTTTATACGCATGAGTATCTTTTGGTCATAGTAGTTTCTGTCGACATTCGAATAGCACTTTGAACCTAAGTTTGAAACAATATATAAAATAGGTGTACTTAAAGTCAATGGAACAGACATTCCTTGTATGACACCTTTTCCTGTTATAGGAAACTGTTGGTAGTAAAAACCAGATATAAGTTTTGTATTATAGCTCATATCGTTTATACTAAACTCAGTCGGACATCCAAACATAATGAAACCTGCTCTAGTTGCAGCACATGTTACATCCGTCCTTAAAGTATTAAATAAGTCAACAAAACCTGTTGGTGGTATATCTGAGTAAGTATCTTCAAAGGAGTATTTTTTACCATTCACAACAACAAAATCTTCTGGTGTCAAAAGAGCAAAACAGGCCTTAGTCGTCATCGTGTTTAAGGTCAGTTTACAATATCGTCCTTGAGGACTTTGTAAGTTTGTTGTTATAGAATTATATGACTCAGGGTTTTTAGTCGTAATAGTATAAACCACTATGTCTTCTGCCATTTTTACTTAGCAAACAAACTTTAATGAAATGTTGTGGTCGTCAAATATTTTTATGACGTCTGGGAAACTATATTTTAAGTTCAACGTTTCACCTCCTTTCATAACGTATATCTTGTCAATGACATTGTATGAAACACCACAGCAAGCAATGTCAGGTTCTATTTCTTTGATGTTTATATCGTCTGCCTCTGTCAAAAGTTTCAATAGTTCTTTCAAAATTTCATGAGGTGCGATGACATATGAGTTCACTTTTACAGGGTTGTGCTCAACCAAGTTTAACATTATACCCAAAGCTTGACAAATCTTCTCCTGAGTTTTAAGCTTATCTTTCAGTTGCATGTAGTCGTTTCGAATATCTGCAACAGAACTTAAGTCTCTGCTAACTTCAGGATATGTTGGTTGTTCTTTTACAGGAACTATTGTTATACCATCTTCGTCTTCGTATGGTTTCCCCACTTCAACATCTCTTTCTTTGACATTGACAACAACACTTTGACTGTTTGTTTGAGTTGGTGAATTTAACTTCACATCTGCCACCGCCATTAAACCTTTTGAAACACTTACGCTTCTATTTTTCGGAAATGACATTTTACTTAGAATAAAAAGATGGACGTATTTGAGTATCTCTTCGAATTGAAGCAGAACAAAGTTTACACACACAAACAATACAAGTTCATTGATAGAATAGTTCTTTATACAAACAATGGAAAATGTTATAGAATAGCAGTCTTTGCTGAACCAAAATATTTTCATAAAGCAAAGAAAGTTGGTATAACCGAGATGGTGAAAGTTCTTGAAGCAGACAAAAATATAACAACAAAACTGACCGATATTTCTAAAGGTAAGTTTATAATACAATATTATATCAAAACTGGCGTACTGTCAATATTTGACGGAGAGAAGTCAGTTCAAGAACAACTTACTGACCTGCTGCCAAAATCTGCTCGATGGAAGCTGTCGTTATGCCAATCTGAGGAGCTCCAGCAGGTTTCATCGAACGAATCTTCAAAAGAGCATCTTCCGTGAAAAGTGCTATTGGTTTTGTAAACTTCTTTGCTCTCATTCATCTGGACCGTCTCTGTCACCAGTATATTGTATTTGAACTGTACCAACAGTTGAAATACCACCCATAAAGTCTTCTGAGTCAGCAAATGGAATGCCAAGCCAAAAGTTTGAACGGTCTCCATTTGTATATTGAGTTTTTTGACCTCCTGTATGAGTCCATACTTTCACATATGGCATAATAGAACTTTGCATTTCAGGGTTATGGTTGTTGTGAAGTTGTTGTTAAAGTTCATAGCATCTAATGTCAAGTTGTATGACCTCATATCCTCAACTGTAGAATATTCTTCTCTTGGATAGTATTTGCCATCTATGTTTATATGATATTTAATACCAGGGTTGTAGAAACAAGAATAGTCATTTATAGTTCGTCTGAACAGTACAAACATAGTATCTGCATGTTTCATTGCAGTTGTTAAAGCAATATCTGTTCTTGCACCTGGGTCAGCACTTTGGTTTCCAACTTCACCTGCAAAGTCTTTGACAGATATTTGGTGTATAGGGAACATAAGTGGAACTGCAATATATTTGGCAGCTAAAGCATTTGAAATATCTGGGTCCAACATATAGACTGCAAGTCTGCTTTCTATTCTCTTGCATTCAAACTTTTCGCATGTGAACTTAACTGGGTCCCAAGCATCTCCAGCAGCATTGAAATAATAGTTTACTTCAGTGTTGAGGTTTGAGAAACCAAAGTCTAAGTCAACTTTGTTTTTGCAAAAGTCGGCGAATGACATTTTATTTGTTCCCACTACTTCTGTAAGAGTGAATGGGTCTTGTGTTGGTGCAATGACTAAGTTATTTTTGCTTGGAGTAAGTTCGATAGAAATTTTTCCTGCCCAGTTTGGCAAGTATCTTAAAAACCTGAAGATGAGGAAAGATGACAAAGGAACTCTAAGTTTCAGTTTTACTTTGGTTACTGCTGCTGCAGTTTGTCCAGAAAGGTAACATAAACTCCTGGAACGTTAGGGTCAAGTCTTCTTATTTTCTCAATAGTTGCATACTGGTCTGTTTGTTCTCTAGCTTGTGGTTGTACTGAGTTTCTCAAAGCGAACCATTCATAGTTTGCCCATGTTACTGTTTGAACTAAGTCAGAGTTAGAATATATCTTATATCCCATGAAAACTTCTGGAGCATATTGGTATCCGACATAGAAAATTCCATTGCAACCTTTCTTGTCAGACAACTTGGCAGAAGGTTTTATTTCAATGTCTTGTTCCACGTATAAGAAAGAGTTGTCAATAGAAATAATATGAAACCTGTCGCAAGCAATATCTACTGTTGTTGAAGAACCTTCTCCAAACTCACCTACGTTTCCATAAGAAACAGCAGTTGTATATTCGTAAGTTCCAGGAACTATTTCTGACCTTCTAATGGCATTGTCGCATTCGTTATACCATTCGGAAACATTTCCATTCATAGCATCCAAAACTGTTGGCGTTATATTCTGAGCGGCGTACATTTCATATGAGTAAAAATATAGAATAGTTGGATTTATATGTCATAATAGAACCCACGTGGACCAAGCTTTACTTTCTTCCTGACTGAGTTTTTAACTCTTCTTTTTCCTTCATTGCCCTCTGCTTGAAGTTGTTGCATCTTTGCATTATGTTCATCTAGTATGTTGCAAATTTCCCATGTCCTTTTTGCCTTTGGGCTCTGGTCGCCCATCTCAGGTAACCTATATCCTAGAAAGAGTTTGTCATAGTTTGTATTTGAGTCTTCGCGTATTGTTTGCATGACTCTTTCCTGAGTTTCTGGTTCAAGCTCTTCAAACAGTGCCTGTCCATATGGAATAAGCTCGTTTCCAAATATATGTTTTTGTAGCCATTCTGGTTTTCTTTCCATGTTACCAACTATATCTTTTGTGAATGGGAAAGCTTTTACCCAATCTTTCAGTCTTGCGTCGTTTATTTCTGTAGTTGGTTTTATTTTGTCAAGGAACATGTTTTTCAATACTAACATTTCATTTGGTACTGTCCATTTGAGTTTTCTTAAATATTCATCCCTTCTCGGTTCATTGTCTGCAAAGTAAGTTTTATGACATTTTGTAAACTTTCGTTTGCAAGGTCATGTACAATAGGTTCTCTTCCTTTCCCCTCCCTAACTTTCTTTCTAAACTCTTCACCAAATATACCATCTCTATGGTTCTGTGTAGTCTTTGAGATAAATGTTTTAGAACGTCAGGTGTTATATTTCCATCAGCCATGTTCATTTCATACTGGTCCAAAATATCTGCATGTTTCATATCTTTCAATGGCATTAAAAGCCGCGCTTAAAATACCAGCTATATCTCGTTCACCATTGACTTCCATTGCGTCTACAACTTCTTGAATTGAGGTTGTAAGTTTATGAACCACCTATCCGGGTTAGCTTTATGACCCCATCTCATTGTAGTTCCATCGTCTGCAGAAACAAAAGTAGGTTTGTTTCCATCTTGGTTAGGTTCTGAATGAACTTTAAACAATGTTTCATTTCTATATGTTTTCTTGAAATTTAACCTTTTATTTTCACCGAGTTCATCCGAAGATTGAACGTTAAATGCTCGTAAGTAAAAAGGGTTGTTGTATTTGTGTACATTTTCTTTCAGTTCTTCCATTCTATGCTGGATATTTTCATCTGATGTTGGAGTCTTTTGTATGTCGGCAAACATTTTTCGATATTCTTCTACTATGTCAGCCGAATTTTTTTTAGACTCTTGGAAATATTCCATATTCTCCGCATACTCTTGTTGAGGGTCAAGATTTTTCGGCTGTTCCAAATCTTCATCTAGTTCTGTGAAGTTAGTTTCCAAAGGAAGGACTTGTTCGTTTCCTTAGGCTCTTAGCTGTTGTTGCTGAACTATTCTTCCATGTCTGGTTGTATCTGAACTTCTTCCTGTGGAGTTTCTTGTACCTCATCTGCTGGCATTTCATATATTCCGAGACCGTTTTCAACAATTTCCCTATCTACGTCATCCGCATTCATAAGCTTTTGTTCTTTCGTTCCGTCTCTATTTTTTACGCGTTTCATGACGAAAGTTGAATTGTCATTTAGCTCTGACATCAAATATCTCGGAGTAAATTCATCCATGTCATTTGGATGATATGCTATTAAATCATATCCCTTAGCGAGCTTGTATTTTCCAGGTTTGAGATTATATCCGTTTTGGTGCTGAGCCATAAAGCTAAATAGGTTCGGGTCAGTATTTCCATCCTTGAACTTTCTAATAGCTTCTTTATATCTGTCACTAAAGTCAACAGTATCTGGGAAACCACACTCTTCTTTAAGCATTTTTAAGAATTCTTGGTTTCCTTGTTCTCTACTTCTTTTATGTCCTTGCTCTGTTTGTGGTTGTTGTTGTGCAGGGTTTTGAACTGTTGGTTGCTGTGCTGGTTGTTGTGTTGGTTGTTGTGCTGGTTGTGGAGGTGGTTGTTGTGCTGGTTGTTGTGTTGGTTGTTGTGTTGGTTTTGGTGCATGCCTGTGTCTGTGTCCATGTGACGATGTAAATGTTTTAGGTAGTCCTGGTGCAGGTGCTTCTCTTGGAGGGTTTGGTGGTATATAAGTTCCACCAGCTGGCACATATGTTCCATCTGCAGCGTAATGTCCTACCTGACTTTTCGTTTTTAAGAAAGCATTTACTAGGTCTGTTTTGGTCTGTTTAACTCTTTTTCTTGACTTTCCACAACAGTTGCTCTAACGGCGTCATAGGCACTTTGAACTGCCTGTCTCGTTGCTGCATCTGTTATTTTCGTCATATTTTGTGCTACTTCTTTTAACTCTTTGTCGAAACCTTCAGACTTCAGTTTCTTTCCAGATGAGAAGTCGTTCACTTGTTTCACCTTACTATGAAGAGCTTCGAAAGCGTTCTTAAAGTCAGCATTTGTTAAAGCTTCATTTGAACTATCTTCATCCGCTTGTATTTTTGTCCTTATTGACCCTATGAGTTGGGCTGCTTTAGCGTTGGCTTGGGCATCTAACCAGTCATTGTTAGCTTTTATATATTCTGCGCTTTTCATTGCCTTTTGCATAGCCGCGTCGTTATTTTTACTTTCTTGTGCTAAGTTTTCATACTGTACGGTTTGGTTTTGCAACTGTAAAAGTTTTTCTGCCTTTACATTTGCTTCAACTTCTTTTTTATACTCATCGCTATCCATATATGTCTTCAGGGCTTTTTTGTTTTATCTCTTCATCTTTCAGTACTTTATATCGAGTAGTATGGTTTTTCAAATTTATGACATCTTGTTCCATTTTTGCTACTTCTGTTGCTTTTTCTGACACTTTTTTCGCATATTCCTCTGTACTTAGTTCTTTCAGTTGTTCTTCTTTCTTCTTTTTCTCTACGTTTAACTCATTGAGTTTCTTTGTGTGTCTGTCATATTCTAGTTTCTTTTCGTTTTCACTTATTTGCTTCTGTATGTCTATGTTTGACTTTTTGACATCTGTTATTTGATTTTTGAGTGAACTCAAATTCATTTGACTTTGAGGGTTATAGGCTGTTCCGTCTGCAGCTCCACCATAGCCTGCCATTTTCGCTAAAAGTGCCGCTCTTAAACCTCCACTCTGTGCACCAACAACTCGGTTTAAAAGCATAGGATTGCTTGACATTTGTTGCAACATAGTGGGGTCATTCAGCATTTGTTGTTGCAACTGTTGTTGTGGTGTCAGTTTTACTATTGGATGTTTCAATGCTCTCTTCCTCTTACGTATATTCTTACGTAGCTTACGTGGCATTTTAAGTGAAGTTAAAAAGCGGCTTTTGACAGATGTTTTGTAAAGACTTCTTCGTAAAGACTTTGTTGAGACTTCTTCGTAAATGAGTGTAAATGACCCAAAAATATAATTTAGGGTAGAAGGGTATATCTAACCTCTTTTCTAACCTCTTTTCTACCCTCTTGAATTTTCATGAATTTCTTCGTAAATGTTTTGTCAAGACTTCTTCGTAAAGACTTTGTTGAGACTTTTCGTAAAGACTTTGTTGAGACTTCTTCGTAAATGACCCAAAAATATATTTTAGGGTAGAAGGGTATATCTAACCTCTTTTCTAACCTCTTTTCTACCCTCTTGAATTTTCATGAATTTCTTCGTAAAGACTTTGTTAAGACTTCTTCGTAAAGACTTTGTTGAGACTTCTTCGTAAAGACTTTGTTGAGACTTCTTCGTAAAGACTTTGTCAAGACTTCATCGTAAAGACATTGTTGAGATTTCTTCGTAAATGACCCTAGTAGTATATTTTTGGTGTAAATTTCATGAAAATTCAAGAGGGTAGAAAAGAGGTTAGAAAAGAGGTTAGATATACCCTTCTACCCTAAAATATATTTTTGGTGTAAATTTCATGAAAATTCAAGAGGGTAGAAAAGAGGTTAGAAAAGAGGTTAGATATACCCTTCTACCCTAAAATATATTTTTGGTGTAAATTTCATGAAAATTCAAGAGGGTAGAAAAGAGGTTAGAAAAGAGGTTAGATATACCCTTCTACCCTAAAATATATTTTTGATGTAAATTTCATGAAAATTCTGAGTAAAATGACAGATGTTTATATGACACTTTCTCCGGTTTATAGGACCTCTCTCATATTCTAAACATCTTCGGGGCTAGAGGGCACGAAGTGCCTGGAAGCCCCACTACCTTTTTTTTTTTTTTTTTTTTTTTTTTTTTAGCTGTCAAATACTTTTGTATTTTGAAGTAAATTAGTATAAATTTGTTTTTACTTTTATTTCGAAAAAGTAACAATAATCGTAAAAGGGTATTGATAGGATTGCTAAAGTAACTAATTTTAGCTGTCAAATACTTTTGTATTTTGAAGTAAATTAGTATAAATTTGTTTTTACTTTTATTTCGAAAAAGTAACAATAATCGTAAAAGGGTATTGATAGGATTGCTAAAGTAACTAATTTTAGCTGTCAAATACTTTTGTATTTTGAAGTAAATTAGTATAAATTTGTTTTTACTTTTATTTCGAAAAAGTAACAATAATCGTAAAAGGGTATTGATAGGATTGCTAAAGTAACTAATTTTAGCTGTCAAATACTTTTGTATTTTGAAGTAAATTAGTATAAATTTGTTTTTACTTTTATTTCGAAAAAGTAACAATAATCGTAAAAGGGTATTGATAGGATTGCTAAAGTAACTAATTTTAGCTGTCAAATACTTTTGTATTTTGAAGTAAATTAGTATAAATTTGTTTTTACTTTTATTTCGAAAAAGTAACAATAATCGTAAAAGGGTATTGATAGGATTGCTAAAGTAACTAATTTTAGCTGTCAAATACTTTTGTATTTTGAAGTAAATTAGTATAAATTTGTTTTTACTTTTATTTCGAAAAAGTAGCAATAATCGTAAAAGGGTATTGATAGGATTGCTAAAGTAACTAATTTTAGCTGTCAAATACTTTTGTATTTTGAAGTAAATTAGTATAAATTTGTTTTTACTTTTATTTCGAAAAAGTAACAATAATCGTAAAAGGGTATTGATAGGATTGCTAAAGTAACTAATTTTAGCTGTCAAATACTTTTGTATTTTGAAGTAAATTAGTATAAATTTGTTTTTACTTTTATTTCGAAAAAGTAACAATAATCGTAAAAGGGTATTGATAGGATTGCTAAAGTAACTAATTTTAGCTGTCAAATACTTTTGTATTTTGAAGTAAATTAGTATAAATTTGTTTTTACTTTTATTTCGAAAAGTAACAATAATCGTAAAAGGGTATTGATAGGATTGCTAAAGTAACTAATTTTAGCTGTCAAATACTTTTGTATTTTGAAGTAAATTAGTATAAATTTGTTTTTACTTTTATTTCGAAAAAGTAAAATAATCGTAAAAGGGTATTGATAGGATTGCTAAAGTAACTAATTTTAGCTGTCAAATACTTTTGTATTTTGAAGTAAATTAGTATAAATTTGTTTTTACTTTTATTTCGAAAAAGTACAATAATCGTAAAAGGGTATTGATAGGATTGCTAAAGTAACTAATTTTAGCTGTCAAATACTTGTATTTGAAGTAAATTAGTATAAATTTGATATTATTTTAACTCCCTTTGAAAACCTCAATTTTCCATACAGAGGGAACGGGAATAGCATCCAATATTCCCTGAGAATGGTTGCGCATTCTCAGTTCCCTCTATATTTCGAACGAAGCTCTCATCGGTCTTTTTTTTTAATACTAAACGTTTTTTTCCCCTGTCACTTTTAGCTAAAATTTGGGTTTGCCAAAAAGTTCCCTCAAAAGTATTTATTCATTAAAATTTATCCACATTATTATTCTGCATTATATTCTATCAACATTCTTTCATACGTTATCAAGTCCATTTGAAAATTGTGTAAATTTGTATGACTCATATAATTTCTATAAATAATTATTTATAATGAATGGAAACCAAGCAACAAATAGCGTAGGAAGCGCAAGCACCGAGGCTAATTCACAGTTGCTGGGGACCATTCGTACCGATGGTCTTATTGACATGAATTTCCCATTGATAATGAACGTATTTCAAACTCATATCTCTATTCTCATTGGGTATCCATTTTTGTTTGCTTATTTCCTGCAAGTACTTTTCATGTCAATATGGCCCTGGAATAAGTATATGGAAGGATTTGAAAACTATCCTGTTCTTAAATGGATCTATCAAATCCTCTACATGAGAAGATTTCCATCTACTGAAAATGACTACTTTATACAAGCAATAATCATATTTGTACCTAATATTATCATATTGTTTATCAATTTTTATCAATTATCTTACTATAAGCTTAACCGTAAGTTTATATCAGCAATGAATTATCCACTTAGACTTTACTTCGAATCATTAATGATTGCCACTAATATGCCAGCAATGGTCGGTGCTTTGGAAACGTTATTCAAAATTTTTCACGGAAACTTTAGTTATAAGATCATAATTTCCTGCATTTTATTCTTATTTACATACATATACGAGTATTTCGGATTTATTATGATTCAAAGTCTTGCTTCTCGCACTGCATTTCTTACTAAAGGACCTTTAACGAATTTCGATCCAGCAATCATGATATATGTTATTGTTACGAATATAATAGTCATGAACCTCTACTTTTTGCTACGTCTTTTCGAATCTTGGGCTCAATTATTAGCAATTTTACTTCACATGGGCGTTTATGCGTATTTATCATATTACATGTCTTATTATCAACCATTTATTGACGTCTTATTCCAAGCATTAGGTGATGGATGGTTTTTTGGCGTTACAGTTGGTGATTTACTTTCATTTATCTGTTATTTCATTAAAAAAGATATGCATTACTATCCTCTTGTAGGAGCATTGATTGTATTTGGTCTTGCAACAGGATGCGCATTGATTTATAGCATAATAAAGAGAAAGAAAATAATTAAACAATTAGACAAATCATTTTCATCAAAAGATGATGCAACTGATTATTTTGATGAACTTGGATTAGCAGATAACGAACTCACAGCCCTTTTATACTTAAGAATTGCTTTCATTTCTTATTCTCCTTGTTTCTATGAATGGACATTAGTAAATTACCTTATTGATACATACAACGAAGAGCTCACACTGTCAACGTGCCTACAAATGGTCCACTTTTTCCCAAAGGAAACAAGATTATTAAATAAAATTTCCAAACTTTTGCTCAAACGTCGATCGTTGGCCTTCCTCGACAGATTCCTTATATTCCAGATCGATGCCGTGAAGACATTACGTAACTTTACCGTTTCAAATGCTTCGAAATTGAAGTTGGTTGAATTAAGAACAATGAGTCGTCAATGCGAGATGCTTGCAAGAGGCGCTGTTGATTCTCCTAAGCTCGGAACCGAATATTTCGAAAGCTTGGCTGAGAAAACTCAGTCAGCAAACGCAATTTGGAGAGAATCAATACTTAGTTCTCCTAATAACCCAAAGTTTTGCGAAGAATTCGCGAAGTATTTGATCAATGCTGAGTGTGATTTCCCTGGAGGCCTCAAAATGAAGCATCGTCAGAATATTATCGAATTTGGAACATCGTTCAGCGTTGATAACTCGTTCAGAATGATGATTGCAGCATTTCCTAAGTACTTAACAGAGAAAATTGTTGATTTCCAAGGAAAAATCATCAAAAATAATGGAGTTAACCGCAAAGCTATGTCGAATATGCTGAATGGAACTAATGGTTCAAATGGTTCCAACAACAGCAACTCGTCAAGCAGCCTCGAAACCGATATTTCAGATTTTGATAACCAAGATTTGGGTTCTGAAGTGGAAGAACACCTTGGCAAGCTAGTTCTAACTCTTCCCAGAGAGAGATTAGCACTCCACAGATGCTTAATGAACAAAATTCCACTCGAAATCAAATATGCCACAACAACAATGATCTGGAATGTTCTTTTATGCTGTGCTTTGTTCATTTTCGGTTGGCAGTATTCCAGTTTTGCTCTCAAAAAGCAAGTTGAAGGGATGGATCAAATTGAATCTTTCGCATTTGCCAGATTCTACTCATCAGTATCGAATACAGTTCTCGAAATTGCAGATTACATGTCCAAAGAAGCCAATGCACAGAAGCTTGAAGCAATTAAAGACCTATTTCATAGTGATGATGATCCAATATTTAAATTGTTCAATGAAAGCCTTCTTTTGCAGATGCTGAGTTTCTCAACTAATTCTTCTTCAGAATTTACTGAAGTTTTCGATCACATCGCAAATGAAGCTCTCAATGGAGACAATGTTGAGAAATACATTGCACCAATCATTGACACAAAGTGGGAATTCCATGTCTGCCATGGAACACAACCACTTCCAACTGCAGATAAGATGTCTTTCTCATCAATGTTGTCACTTTTAATAGTTTATTCAAGAATTCTTTCAGGAGCAGCAGAACCACCACATTTGAATAACTCTCCAGAGATTTGCATGACAGTACTTAACTATATGTCCATTTATAATGGTTCTCTTCAAGTTTTCGAATCAATAACTAATAATCAACAAGATATTGGCTCGAAATGGAAGAAGAGATTCAACGTGCTTCAAATAGCACTTCCAATCGTTATCTTTTTCTTAGTTTTGGCTCCATTACTTACAATTCATGTTATGTCATCAAAATCACTTCATTTGATCATAGATATGATCAAATCCTTTGACATTAAAGCAAAATCACAAGCTAAGGAGCCAATTATGCTGAATTCCTACTCTGATGACATAAAAGTCGCAGATTACCATTCAACAACAAAGAGATCAGCTGTTTTACTATTCATTTTATTCGTAATATCAGCTTGCATCTTCATCTGTGCCTTTTTCGGTTTCAGACTTGTTGTTAATTCAAATTCTTCAATAAATAAGATAACGAATTGGAATTATTTGGCAGCAATTAGATTGGCATTATCATCAGAATCAGCAGGACTCACCGTTATGGTTGCTTCTTTGATGAATTACGTTGGACAATTTAATTATTTAGATCCAACCCTAACCGTTCGGCTTTCATACTTCGTCCTCTCAAAGCTTGTTCAAGTAGATAAAGCGTTAGTGGATGGAACTTCCACAATTCCTGCTTGCAGTGGTTTTGACCAATCGTTAGACGAATTGAATCTAATTGACTCCGAAATCAGCTCGGATGTCGATGATCCAACAAGGACATATGTCAATGCAAGTATCCACAAAATGATCGATGTTTATTACAGTTTTGCTTATAGTATCATCCAAAGTATGAGCAAATCTCCACCTTCGTATAATATTAATGATCTCGTAAACGCCATTTATTTGACGAATTACAGATTATTCTCGAAGGAATTGAAATTTTCATCAAGATTAATTGAATTGGCAGAGAAAGAAACCACCAATTTCACTATCACCATATCAATTATCTTCGCTGCTTACTTTGTTCTCCTTTTAATTCTGATCCTTTTCTCATATGTTTACGAATTGTACAGAAAATACTCTTACCAAGCCGCATTAATGGTTCTAAAGCGATTTTCACCATACGAACTCCTCAATAACAAGCTCTTTAACCAAGTTTTCCTCAAAGGAAAGAGCGATAACAAAAATGAGAAACTTTCCGTTGAAGGAAACATCATAAAGAACTCTAACTCTCCTATTTTCTGCACAAGCCTTGCAGGAATGATCGAAATTGTCAACAACGGAACAACAGAATTACTCAGATACACTCCAGAACAAATGTTAGGCCAATCCATATCTGTTTTCTTCAAAGAAAGGGAAGTAATGGTCCAAAAACTGGAAATAATGAAGAACGGCCAAAGCTCTAACTACGTTGAAGAAGATTTAACCACTTTTACTGATTCAGGAAACGAAAAACCAGTCCATGTGACAATTATTGGCATGAAGAAGGATAATGACAATGATATTAACTCATTCGTCATCACCATGAGAGACCAAACAGAATTGATAAGCCAAAAGAAGCAAGCAGAAGAAGCAAAAGCAAAATCCGAAAAATTATTATATCAAATTTTGCCAAGAGATGTTGTTGTTCAATTGAACAAGGGTGAGAAAGATATATCATTCGTTGTTCCAAGCGCAACAATCATTTTCATTGATATAAACAAGTTTTCGGAATATTCTGCAAATCTGACACCACAAGATATCATGGCAAACCTGAATCACTACTTCGCATGCATTGATAAGATCGCTGCCAAATACAATATGCTCCAAAAGATCAAATTAATTGGAGATATTTATATGGCTGCGGCTGGTTTGTTCAATACCGATTCTCCTGCAGAGCAACATGCTGAACAAACAATTTTATTCGGTTTGGATGTTGTTGCAACAATGGATGAGATAAATCTCAAACTTGATGCAAATCTCCAGATCAGAGTTGGTATAAATAGCGGCGGACCAGTCATCGCAGGTGTATTAGGAACAGATAAACCCGTTTTCGATATCATTGGTGATCCAATTAACGTTGCTGCAAGATTACAATCAACATGCGAAGTAAACAGAGTCCATATATCTCAAGCAACATTTGATTTGGTCAAAGGATCTAATTTCGACGTTGTACAAAGAGGAGAAACTTTCTTGAAAGGAAAAGGAAAACAAATTACATATTATATCAATTCTCCATCGAGAGCATTCAATACACTTGGAAGTCAGCAGTTTATTATCAACCAGCCTCAGAATAATAATCCAGCTCCAAGTTCAAACTTAGTTCCAAAAGATTCTAAGTAATTTTTGATTTTTTTTGATATATATTATATATTTTTATATTTGTATGATTAATAGATAAACGTTTCTATGTGTTGTTTATTTAATATATACTATTTAAGTCTCCACGTGCACAAATTTTTGTTGTCTCTAAAATTCCTTTTTCCAAGGATACAACATTGATTTCATTCAATGAAAATATATTCACGATACACACCACCATATCTGTGTACATAATGCTATAGTCAGTTTCCGATTAAGCTCTATGAATAGCAAAATAGAGAAGCATAAAGTCTCCTGATGTAACATCAACAATAAACTTAAGAAACTTCGCTATTAGGTTCCATTATATAAATGCTTCTATACTTAATATGTGCAAGTTTTATAATTTGTCCTTAGCATGTGAACCATTCTATATAATCTAAAGAATTTTAGATGAATTCTTTTGATCTTGAAATTCACATAACTCATCAGTTCATAACAACATTGTTTTCACACCATGTAGTGATTAATAAGAAATATGCAAAGAAAAATAGAAAAAAAGATAATTATTTGAACTAAAAAGAAGGGAAAAAACAAACAATTTTAGATCTTATTGTTAGGCAAAGAACTACCTAAACGTTTTCTGTTACTGAGTATACCTGTCTTAGCGACACAATTGAAAATTCGAGTGCATGATTTTGGTTTCTTGTCAATGCAGTTGTTGTAAATGTCTAACATTTTCAGCCTTGTAGCTTGCATGGTTGGCCTATTAACTGGCTCTAGTTCGAAGCACATGTTAATAATTTCGGCCAAAGGACCATCTTTTTCAGTTAACTTGCCATTATTATCATTGATATCTTCAAGAAGGATGTTAGTGTTGGCAGCACAGAATGGGAACCTGTCCTTGATCAGACAGAATAAAGTGACACCTAAAGCCCAAACATCGGCCTTATATGGATCATAATCAAATCCAAGGAGGATTTCTGGAGACATATAGTTCATAGTACCTCTGACTCCTTTGTCTGCCTTCAACTTGTCATTTTTTGATAGAAAATGGGAGAGACCGAAGTCACAGATCTTGATTCGATCAAATTTGTCAAGAAGAATATTGGAAAGCTTGATATCGCAATGTGCGAAGCCTTTATTGTGCATAAATGATAGGGCATCAATAATTTGCATTGAATACTTTAAAATTTTGTTTGTACTCTTCTTCACTTTATCATGAATAATGTCATAAAGGCTGCCACCACTGCAATATTCTAATATCATGAATACTTGACCGACATCAACAAAGTAGTCATAAATTCTAACGATATTGGGATGGTTCAACTTGCTCAATATTTCAGCTTCACACTTCAATGATTCAAGATATTTAGAATCTGCATTTTCGCACATTGAAACTTTCGCAACGAAGTCCTGATTGAATTTGGTTGAGTTAACAAGAAAACAAGATCCAAAACTACCATTGTTAATGAATTTTACTATTGTGTATCCGTGGTTCTGCAATGCTTCTTCAACAGACATAATGAATAGATAAGAAAATATTGAATATGATTTTTGTGATGATATTGAATTAAAAATGCATTAGATCATATAACTAAGCAATATTTGCTAAACAAAATTTGTTAATATTGAAAAAAACTACAGAACTTCAGAAAACTTCAAAATTATTTTAGGTAATGAAAAGATCGGCAAGACAGTAATTTTATTACATGTTTGAACAAAATATATTCTCCTCAATTAGAAAACAATCATTGAAAAAATTGAATGGTCAAGAATCTGTATACATTGAAAAATAAAAATCATTGACAATAATATTTTCATATATATCATGGCCCATTTTAAAACAAAATTATACCTCGGATACTGAATTTTTGCCATTTTAACGTTCAACATCTATTTCTATGATAATCTGCTCTAATATATCGTGTAAGTAATATATCATTAAATATTGAGATGATTTCACTTCCCATTTAATCGATATGACATGAAAATGAATTATTGCACCACAAATCCCTTAATGATCTATAAAATCTTATTTATGGTTATAAAATATCTGCATTGACGATAATTTTATGTCATTCATTCAAAATTCAATTAACCAAAATGGAATTTATGTTGATAATGATTCATATGTAGAGGCCGATTTTTTCCTCATTTTCTTTAACATATCAAATTTTTCTCAAATAAAATCAATAAATACTCATAACCTGCGCCTTGTTATTTGATAAAATAGTGCAAACTTTCTTTTTAATACCATTTTTAACAGAGAAATTGATTTCGGCACTTTATATTAATATTTTTCTTATTCAATTAATTTTATTCAATATGGTTTCTAATCAGGTGAGACTGGAGTTGGCTATCATTGAAAACCATTAATCAATTCGGATCTCAAGAATATCGATTTTATCAAATATGAATTTTGCTCGTTAGGTGTTTTTAATTCTATAAATATATTCAGATAGGTAAAGACACTACAGATCAAGAGTTAATTCCATTTTCATCAATCCAAAAAGTGTCGATATAGCGGTTGTGGTCCCCCTTTTTTCCGATGCCAGTCGACTTCGTTCCAAAACACCCACGTGATAATGCTAAGGGCTCCGTCGAGCGCTCCTGCCGTATCTGTGGCAAGCGCCGCGGTGTCATCCGCCAGTACCGCCTTAACATCTGCCGTAGATGCTTCCGCGAACGCGCTGAGCTCCTCGGCTTCAAGAAGTACGACTAAACATCTGAAGTAAGCACAGAAAAAACTTATATTATATTAATTTTTAATTTTTTTTATAATCGATTTTTTTTTTATAAAATATAACCGAATTTTTTTAGGTCATCATACAAATCCATTCTACAAAATCAAAAGTACATTACAAACTACTGGTTTTGGGTTGACCGATTTCTTTTGCTTTTGTAGATATAACATTTCATATGATTTTTTTATAGGTAAGGTTTTCCATATTATTTATGAAATGTCATAAATGCTTAGATATTAAAGTAATCCATCGGAGTTAAAAATGGTACGGGATACGTTTTAAAATGATATTTTAGAAATAAAACTTAAGGTCTTTAAGATAAATGTTTCCATTAAAAGTAAAAACGTCATTTATGTAAATGCGCGTATGTTTAAGCAATATTGCAGCCTCCCTGGCTCTTAGCTAAGACAGCTTCAATGGCAAGATCGTAAACACCGCCAACGTTCTGATTGAGTCTGGCAGAGCAGTTGATTGACTTATAAGCCTTAATCTGTGTGGCAACCTTGTCAATTTCTGCTTGGGTAATAGCATCTGGGGCCTTTGGATCCCAAAGGTCGGCCTTTGTTCCGACAAGAATAACTGCAGCCTTTGGACGGAATTGAAGAATTTCCTGATACCACTTTTCGTTTACGTTCTTTAAGCTTTCTCTATTATCGAGGGCGAAACAAACAAGGACAACATCGCATTTAGAATAGGACATCGGACGAAGTCTATCGAATTCTTCCTGTCCTGCAGTATCCCAAAGATGGAGGCAGTATTGTTTGCCCTTAAACATACGCATTTCATGATGTGATTCGAAAATAGTTGGCTCATAATCTTCTGGGAATGGATCACCCTTGAAAACAAGAAGAAGGCAAGTCTTACCTACGGCACCATCTCCAACAGAAACTACGCGAATTGGTTGAGCCTCGCTCATTAGATTGTCACTTTTTAATTTATTAGTTTTTCAATTCAATTTTGCATAAAATAAATAGCAACAACAACAAAAATATTTTTATACATTTTTTTCTAATATTTTTATCTATTGGGCAATTATAATATAGACAACCGAAAAATAGCCGATAGAACTATTATCATTTTGCATTTTCGAAATTTCTTCTTACTCGGCATTTTTCACTTTAATCTGAGTTACACCAACCACTCTCTTCTAATAAAAGATCGAACGTCCTTATAAAATTCATAGAATCGTTAAAATCTTCTTCTTTTTTAATTCGACCAATTTATTATTTAAGAGCTGCAGCTTAAATATCTCCAGCATATGGATTCCAAACAATCTTTGATACAAGAGATCTGTACCAATTTAAACCACATCTCATTTTCAAACAAAATATAACTTATTCGTTTTTTTAACATGGATAATCTCACATAATGATAAGTTTCCTTACTCAATGGGCAATTTCTCTTTTTCCTCTCATACATTAGCCTTTTCATAAAATTTTTAAATGTTTGTCTAAGTTCTTTCGCATTTCTATAACGGATTTCTCTTTAATTCTTTGTATACACAATCTTTTCTGCTCAAGTCAATTTCTGCATTTCGAAGTGAAGTGAATTTTTAAAATTTTTATCCCTGGCATTTTTTTGAGTTTGTCAGAATAAGGCTCCCAAATACTAATTGTATTGAACAGAGCAAGACTTTTATGATCGGTAAAACATCCTCATATTCTATTTTCTGAGAGAATAAAACCTCGAAAGATATAATCGAATTATTACTTTAGATTTGAATGTGTTCACTGATTTATATTACTAACTATCAGCTATATTATTTCATTCTTGGTTACAAAGCTTCCAAATACCACAAAATAATCCAAATAAACTATTTCACTATTATCAAGTGAGATTTAGATCATGAGAGTGCAAGAATATTAACACCTTTGACTTTAAAAGTGTGATGATCAATTCCTTAATACTACAATACATCGATATTTTCTGATTTTTTATTTTTGTCAAAATTTTCTGATGCTGAAGCTCGAGTCGAATTTTTTATACCAAGACAACCCAATTAAATTTGGGCAAAAAATTGACTCTACTCCAGTATCAGCGAGATTCTATTCAAATGGGCTTACAGAAGTGATAAGTAAAGGAATAACAATTTATTCGTTCTCAGCATCACAAATAAAAGAAATACAGAGCTTTAGAACGAAACAAGGTAATGATTTAAGCGGTATTGAGCTATATTTTCCATCTAAAGTAATTTTATTAAGAAGCCAAGAACCAGAAACAGTACTTAAATGGAAATCAAACTTGATAATTATGAATAACACGAGTAAAGTAGAAAAATTACTCACAATAAACCTATTTCAGAGGAAAGGAATGGAACTTACAAATGAATATGAAGCTTGTACAATACAAGCGGATAAATGGCGATATACTATATACAATGACTGCGATTGTGCCGTATTTCGATATAATTATCCCTACTTAGGAATCAAAAAAGTTGTATTTCAAGAAGGGCCACCAAGTCGTCCATATTTGTTAATTGTTTACCTTATGGATGGAAAAGAGTTATATTATTCTCATAATTCTGAAGATATCTTGATGGAATTATTTAATTTCTTCAAAATATACTGTTTGAAATAAAATGTATATATAGTTTATAATATGTTTTCGTACTTATTTCGGTTTCTTTTCTGAAATATGAAATAAGGCATTTTATTTTTTCAGAAGGTTTAAAATTTCTTGTTAATATTGAACTATATTCCCTACATACTATATTATATCAAGTCGCAACTTCTCAGAAAATCAGAAATATTTAAAAATTATGAAATTATGAAGTTGAAAAATATCACAAATATAAAACAACAATTTGTCTTTCATTTCCAAAAGTGATAGTCACCAAACCTATCAAATAGTGATAGTCAACAATTCATAGAAAAAGTTAAAAATGATAGTCGCTTTGAGTATCAAAAAAATTCACCTCACAAAAATTTGAAAGGATTAAAAAACGAAAATATTTATTTTAGAGCTTCCAAGCATTTGTCATCATGAGGCCGAAGTATTCATCATTATCGATGGATGGAGAAATATGGCGGTAGTAATCGATAAATTCTGTACGTGTAATTTTGCCATCAGCATCTGTATCGTAGGAGGCGAGAAGGTTAGCAAAGATCTTGCCAGCTGTTGTCTTGCCCATCTTAACAAGTTCAGATGATTCTGGGTTGTAAACCATCTTGAAATCTTCAATTGCGACGACGCCAGAACCATCCTTATCGAGCTTGTCGAAGGCCTTGTTGCACCATTTGATTCTCTCCTCATTCATTGGTGGAGCCATCTGGTAAAGGAATTCATCGTAGTCGATTGTTCCGTTGCCGTTAGAATCAAGGAGACGGATGAGCTCATTGAGTTCTGTCTTGTTAAGGATGACACCGATATCGTTCATAAGCTTTGGAAGCTCATTCTTGAGATCGATGATCTTGTTGTTATCATCATCAGCAATTCTGAAGAGACGGCCGATGCCCTTGATGCCGACAGCACCACGCTCAACAATGCGCTGACGGATACGGTTCATGAGAGTGCTCATATCGATGTATTTACGCTGTGGAGCAACGTATGTTGACGACATATGAAATGTAAATCCGTTATCGGTTTTTCGATAACGAATTGAAGGAATCAGGCCAAAAATGAATGGGTTAAATCACTACCAGGCAACACTACCTACTTATTAGTAAATATGGCATCGGTGGAAATTTATGAGCACATCTAACGTTTTTTTACATGATTGAGAATTGACGAGAAAATAAGTCATGCGATTCAAATGACATTAATATTCGTAACGGCAAAGACATGTTTTATTTCATATCTAAAATTTTGCGCGATTCTATTACATTTTAACATTAAATCATTTTTGTATTTTCATTTTGAAGGTTTTTGTGCATAATAACTGGACACACTATAATTGCTGAAAGCAAATTATTAAGCTTATGCATTGTTTCCATAACATTTTTTAAATGTTGATATTCAAATATACATAGAAGATGGTTTTAGGGCATATATATAGGCGCAATTAAGATATGTACTTAGGTTTAATTTGAACGATTGAGTGTAACTTCTATATATTCAAATATTTAAATTTGGAAATATTATTATCATTGAATTCAAAAAACGACAAAGGACAAAACAATATATTCGAGTACAATCAGCCTATGAAGTTTGAAATTCGCATTAAAATTCTTGAAATATTACTTATATTATATATAGAAAACGTTTTAATATATATATAACAAGATATAATAGTTCAGTTCTTTGGTATGATATCCTTCAAACAGTTGACAAATTCCTCGCTGCAATCAACAATCACAAACTTTTCGGGATGAGCTTTAATCTGCGCAGTTTGTGTTGCAGGATGAGTGTTGAGCGCGACAATCTTTCTAAGTGGGCTATTAATGAGATAATTTAATACTTTTTTGTCATTAGGCAAGAAATGAGAAACACAGACATCAACAGAGAGTGCACCAACAGAAAGATACTTTTCTGCAGCATGAACTAATGTTCCACCACTTCTTGTCATATCATCGTAAATTACAACATGTTTTCCCTTGACATCACCAATAACTTCAAATGCCTGCGATTGAGAAATTGATCCGACCATTGTTCTAACTTTTCTGATAAAAGCGACCGGTGTTCCAGACTCTCTTGCAAATGCGTTAACCCAAGCTGTTCTGCCAAGATCTGCAGATGCAAACATGAATGTAGCTGGGTCGAATCCAATTAGAGGAAGTGATTTAAGCAATGCTTTTTGTCCATACAATTCCAATCTAAGACATGGACCTTCGAAATAATGAAGAAGGCCAGCAGTATGAAGATCGAATAAAAGGAACACATTACCATTCGAACCAGAGCCAATTGAGGAAAGCATTTGTATGGTGCATTTTGCTGTAACAACTTCACCTGGAAGGACAGCTCTTTCCATTGTAGAGTATCCAAGAAATGGTATAATGAAAACTCTACGCCGCACACCGTACTGAACCAATGTTGAGCCTACACGGTAAACTTCAAGAATATCATCATCAGTGGCAAGAGCTGAAACATAAATGGCCGTTTTACCAAGTAATTCGAAATTTGACTGAACTTCTAGGCGATAATATTTTTCGCCTCCTGGAAATTCGGATCTTTTAATATTTAACTGGTTAGGATGGAATCCTAACTCGATAAGCTGCTTGACAATAAGTTCGGAAAAGTATTTTGATCCTTCTGTACTTAAAATCAAAAGTTCACTCATCGGAATTGTGAGGTCTGCAAAAATTGAATTGACATATCTCAAATAAAATAAAATTTTGACTGAAATTATTTATAACATTACCGTCATAAAAATGAATGATTCTGGAAACTTAGATTCGATATTTCTAGTTTAGACATATATGCAAACTTATATGTGAAGTTTGGACTGATTCCTATGCATAATTTATCAATTCTATTCAATTTATTTTCAAATCCTGCTTATTCTCTTACACTAAACATGGAGTTATCAGCTCATAATCATCGCTGCTGATCTTATTCTATATTTTGAAGAATTAGGGTTAAATTTGATAAATCTTAAGCAAATGGTCATTTTTCGGACCTAAGACTTAGAATAAAACAAAAGCTGGGAAAATATGAGTTTTCAAGCTATTCATTTTGCTTATTTAGTCAATCTTCGATTTCGATTTCAGCAGAGATAGCTTGTTTTGAGAAACGAAACGAATTGAAGTGCAAACAAATGAAAAATAGACCAATCAAAACCCAATTACGCGATGACGTAATTTGGCGAAAATCTTTTTTATATTTGTTCAAAAAGTGACAATATAATAAATCTTTCAAGAATCAAATGGAAGATGTCAAAGCAAATTTAATGAAGACATATACAGAGACATGGAGACAGATTAATAGTGTTAAGCTTCTTCTTGAGAAAAAACAAGCCGAATGTGATGAAATCCACAAGAAAATGAAACTCGCTCAAGAAACTTATGACTTAGCTATGAAAATCAATCTTGCTGATCTCGAATCAGAAATGCATGTTAAGGAAATGCTTGTTTTGAAAGCAGAAACACTTGCTGCACGTGAAAACTCTTTACAAAACAGTACTCCCGAAGCTCGTGAAATTAACAGCAAGATTGAACAAACATTTGATGAAGTCTATAAGATAGAAGCTGTTATCACTCAAAGCAAATCGGATATTTCTACTTATCAGCAAGATATCGAAACAATAGAAAAAGAACATGTTGAAAAGCGTGAACAGTCGTCGAAGAAAATTGCATCCATCTATAAGAATATACAAAACCTTCGTGAAGAAGTTTCGCAGTTCAGATCAAATAATCTTTCTAATTTAATTTCTGTTCAGAATGACGAGCTGAACAAAGAGATTGAAGTTCAAACATCCCAAACAATATCAATGCTATTTACAGAATTCTTTAATTCCGCAAATGCAGTTACAGAAGCCTTAAAGAATCCAGATTCAGCTTCCGATGTTATCAAAGCTGAAATAGAAAAATGCAAGATTCTCGAGAGCAAGATTCCGAAGCATCAAGCCGAAAAATCTTACGATGACATCATGGAAATGCAAGAAAAGACGAATATTCTTTTCCAACAGATCAACTCATTCGAAGACCAGATCAAGCTTTCCATCAATGATATGAAAAATGAAGAAGAACATCAAGATCAATTAGCAAATAACCTCAAAATCGAACAAAGAAACAGCAAAGAGCTCATGCAAAAGCTTGGTCTGCAAGAAACGAAAGTTACAAGGCTTGAACAGGAGATAAAACATCTGAAAGAAGAAGATGCCACAAGAAAAGACACTGCTTTGGCAAAATTAGAGCAATTGAGAATGGATATCCTCAATATTATTGCAGAAAACAGAAAGAAAATGGATAAAATCAATCAATTACGTTCTGGAAGCGCATCCAAACTTAAATTCAACAGCCCAATCGAAAACCTCTGCATGAGTATCCATGAACAAGCTCAGGAACTCAATAAGGAAGTAGAAAGACTTACAAATGAAGAGGAACAACTCAAATCTGAACTTAACAAATTGAACCTTGAGTAATTTCCTTGGAAAACCAAATATTTTTTGTAAATGTATTATATATGTTTAATTTAAACCGTTACTATTATTCAAAATTCTTTTCCTTTTTAAATTCTATTGTGAAATTTCAAAAAATTTTAAATTTATACCAACAAACATATCACAATGAAAAATATTGTTAATATAATAACATAGATTTTACTCAAATTTATGCAAATGAAAAGAATATCGAAACTTTTCTAGATTTACTTCATCAAACATGCACGAATGAAATTCTTTGCTGCAATTATAATATGGACTTTATCCATTTTATATGAATGAAAAGTTTATGCAAATATTTCATATGATTTTTATAAGATACATTGATCATTAGTAGTATAAGAAAGAAATAGTAGTTGGGTTTACTAAAAACACGATTCTTTTATTCAGAATTTGAAAAAGATTTATACATTTTGCTAAAACCATCAACGGTATTGGAGAAATGGATTCCATGCTTCTCAATCTTCTGAATATTCATGCTGATATTACGAGCTTGAGCTTTGAAGCGATTTGTATCGTTTTCAACTAAATTTTCAGGGACATCCATGATTTTGGCGATTTCTTTATATGTCTCATAACTATTCGAAGTATTTGATGCTCCGTAGTTGTAGACACCTCCAGGCAATTCAAAAGTTTTTTCAATATTTTCAACAACTTCTCCGACAAATGTAATTGCGCGATATTCATTAACAGTTGTTACAAATGGAACATTCTTCTCTTTAGCTTCAAGAAGCATTATTGGGAGGTTCTTGTGTTGAGGTATTTTTGAAGAAGGATGATCATACATCCATGTTAGTCTCAAAGATACTGAGGTTGGCAATATTTCTTGAAGCTTTCTTTCGGCTTCAAGTTTGTGTTTTCCATAAACATTTACTGGATGAACGTCAATATCTTCGGAAAGTGGTCCCTTTTCAGCGTTTCCATTGTAAATCTGATCAGAACTACAGAAAATAAGTTTTGAATTGATTTTTGAAGCTGCCTCGGCAAGATATTTTGTACCATTTAAGTTTATTGATTCTGACAACTCTGGATTTTGTTCACAAAGCCCAGTGTTGGAAATTGCTGCAGTGTGAATAATAATTTGCGGATTAATTTTTGTAACTTCGGATATTATTTTTTCACGATCGGTTAAATCGAGCTCACCATGCGTTGGGGCAACTACTGTGTAGTTTTTTGAAAGATGTGACACTAAGCGACGCCCTAAAAAACCACTTCCACCAGTGACAAGAATAGTTTTCATTGGGAACTTATAGAATTATGATAAATTACTATTTGATATATTAAAAAATTAGTGTTATAAAAACAAATTAGATAATAGAATCTGTTTGGAGATTAAATTGAGTTGATAACAAATTATGAATGGAGCATAATCAGATTGTAGGAAGAAACAATAAAATATATAATGAATGTTAAATAGATATATATGCTTTATTTTAAACGAAAACATTGTCTAAGTGTTGATGAAGATGTTCGATGTACATGTTGAAGTCCGGCATCTTCATGACATCGTGGAATGTGACAGGTTTCAGTTTCTGGAATCCACAGAATTTGAAAGCTTTGTACACGTTGAACCAGACACCTTCTGCGTGGCGTCCTTCGAAGAACTGAGAAGGATCGTCGAATGATTCTTCTGGTGCATTCCATGTAGAAGATATCATGATGTATCTTCCTTGGCAAAGACCGCCGCTGCCATACTTCTTGCTTGGATCTTTTCTTGTGCGACCGTCATTCCTGTACATGACACCATGTGCGAAAACTTCGTCGATGTATTTCTTAGCACCCCATGGAAGACCCATCCACCAACCTGGTGTCTGAAGGATGACAACGTCAGACCACATGATCTTGGAGACTTCTTCTTCGATGTTGTAGCCTTCGGCCATGTTAGTGACTTTGACTTCGTGACCTTTAGACTCAAGATACTTTTTCGCTTCTTCTGTGAGAGATGTGTTCAACTTTCCTCCTGAGTGTAAGAAGTTGAAACCTGCGTTCAGGATGAGAACCTTTGCTGACTTAAGACTCATGTCTAGATGAAAAATGATTTGTTTTCTTTATCTCTCAATTTGTTTTTAACAATTCTCAAAATTTTTATCTCCCACAAATCGCTTTGAGGGAACTGAACAATTGTAAACTATTTAATTTTGTCAACACATGAAAATCTAATGGAAACAGAATTATTAGTTCATAAATATTATTTTTACAACAAAATTTTATGATCGTTCTGAAAAGATTGACCAGCCAATCGTTGAAAATGAGGTAATTTCAAAAATTTTTATTGTATAATTGTATATTATAGTGTACATATGCTGTGTTTATCAATATTTCGTGATTTGAATCATTGAATAGTTTACAATTGTTCAGTTCCCTCAAAGCGATTTGTGAGAGATAAAAATTTTGAGAATTGTTAAAAACAAATTGAGAGATAAAGAAAACAAATCATTTTTCATCTAGACATGAGTCTTAAGTCAGCAAAGGTTCTCATCCTGAACGCAGGTTTCAACTTCTTACACTCAGGAGGAAAGTTGAACACATCTCTCACAGAAGAAGCGAAAAAGTATCTTGAGTCTAAAGGTCACGAAGTCAAAGTCACTAACATGGCCGAAGGCTACAACATCGAAGAAGAAGTCTCCAAGATCATGTGGTCTGACGTTGTCATCCTTCAGACACCAGGTTGGTGGATGGGTCTTCCATGGGGTGCTAAGAAATACATCGACGAAGTTTTCGCACATGGTGTCATGTACAGGAATGACGGTCGCACAAGAAAAGATCCAAGCAAGAAGTATGGCAGCGGCGGTCTTTGCCAAGGAAGATACATCATGATATCTTCTACATGGAATGCACCAGAAGAATCATTCGACGATCCTTCTCAGTTCTTCGAAGGACGCCACGCAGAAGGTGTCTGGTTCAACGTGTACAAAGCTTTCAAATTCTGTGGATTCCAGAAACTGAAACCTGTCACATTCCACGATGTCATGAAGATGCCGGACTTCAACATGTACATCGAACATCTTCATCAACACTTAGACAATGTTTTCGTTTAAAATAAAGCATATATATCTATTTAACAATTATTCTCTTTTTATTCATTTAGCATATCCACACCCAAACAATTTCTATCCATTTTCACATATTAAAGATCTTCAATATTATCTTATTCAGCTTGAATTCAATTTTGAATCAACAAATAACAGTGAAATGATTTTTGTTATTAACATACTTCATATTAAGATGCAAAAATACAGATGGAAAAACAGTTTTTAGATAATTTTCTTTATAATTTACATTGAACAATTTATTCAGGACATAAAGGACCTTCGTTAACAGAAGGTGTTGGCAATTCTGCATCTCCTGATGATAAAACAAACTTAAATATGAATAAACCCGCAATGGCTAACGCAGCAACTAAAATAATTAAAATTACTGGATTAGAAAACATAGATTTGGAAGAAGCAGGTGTTTCTGGCTTTTGTGTTTTCACCAGCTCTTCTTTAGGCTTTTCTTCTTGTGGCTGAACTTCAATAACTTCTTCTTTCTTCTTTTCTTCAATTTTGCCTTCGCTGGCTGGAACTACGACTGGTTCTGAGTCAATCGATGGTTCATTCTTAACAGATTCTGGTTTATTATCGTAATCCAAGACAAAAATGTCGGATGATTCGTCATCAAGGTCGAGATTGCGAGTTTTGAATGGTACAGCTCCACCTGGAGCTACAGCGCGTGAAATAAACTGTTCACGATAGTTTGCTTCGAATGTATTACTTTCAATTGTGTCATTTGTTTCATTTTCTGATGAGAAGTCCTTAACAGCATCGGAGAAACAGTAAGCATGATCACGGTTCTCAAATCCAAACGATGTTGAAGCTGGACATTGGAATGAATCAATTACATTGAGTAAATCTATAGGAACTAAATCTTCAACAGGTACTGTGTAAAAATCTAATCCTTTGATGAATGATTTAGAAGCTAATAATGCTCTTTGCCTTACGTAGTAGTCATTTTTGTTATTTACTCTCTCAACCATGTTCTTCTTGAGTAATTTTTCTTGGGCTTGAAGCCAAATCTGCCGCAGTCTTTCTCTCTTCCAGAATTTGAGTACATAACGAAGTTTGATATTACGAAATTCAGGATTTGCTGCTTTATCACCATTGAATTGATAAATGTATTGAAGTTGCTGATGCTGATTGTATTCCATTGATAATTCGCACCAGCGAAGACGATTGACTTCATATTGTAAATTTTGTGCGTCTTCCTTTGAGAGATTCTTAGTACCATTCAATTGATGAATTGTATTTTCAAGATCTCTACTTACTCCCTTAAGTGCACTTAAACTTAATGAACACACGTGGACTTTAGGACGTGTTTCCATTTACGTTTGAAATTTTCTCGCCGTTAGATTCAGTTTTGTTTGTAAACTCGATCTGCATTTAACAAAAGATTTTAATTATCCAGTTAATGAATTATTAGGATCATAAGTAATTTTACTTATTTACCCAATATTTGCGGAAAATTGATTTTCATATCCAATATTTTTAATAATTAATGATGAAAAATCTTTTATTTACTTGTGTTAATTCAAACAAAACCAATGTTTTTGGAATTATGCATAAATTGAACCTTTTCAAATTCAAAAACTTGTTGAAATCGCATGAAACAAAAACAAATAAAAATGATTTAAGTTATATAGTTATGCTATTATGAAACAATCAATTTTAAGTATACGTTTACAAATGAGGAAATCCAAAAGCAAGTTACAGAAAAGATCGGTCGCTGATGTTGGTATCGAAAATTCAGAAGAAGCAGCATTTAGGAAGAACATTTTTAAGAAAGCAGGAAACAGAAAAAAGATAAATAATGAAATCCTAAAAGAAACAAAACAAAAAACACGATTTGCAAATGCAAAATTACCAAACTCCTCAAAATTATTAAATTACGATCCAGAAAAGAAGTCATTATACGCTATTGAAAGAGATCTTCCGACAACAGGATTACTTGACAAATTTAATATATGTGCCTCATCTGGACAGGGGTACGGACTTGGATTCAATCAATTTGGACAATTTATGTTCGGCCAACAAGGAATGAATTTTTCATTTAACGGTCTAAATACTGATTACGGAAATATTCCAGCCGGAGAGAGCTTAAATAGCTTTGGAGCAGCAGGCTTTGGAGTTGGCCTCGGAACAGGCGAAGGATTAGGATTTGGTACAGGATTAAATACAGACTTTGGAAATACACAAGGGGGAATAGAAATAGGAAATATACAATACGTAGGAAATACTGTTGATACATCTGGAGGAAACCAAGGTTTAGGAAGTGGAATTGGAACTGGAGAAGGCTTTGGATTTGGATCTGGATTAAATACAGAAATTGGAGCTATGCAGGGTGGAATGGGATTTGCAGAATTCCAAAATTTCAATCCTGGTGGAGTATTTGATAATTTGGTTATTGGAAGTGGACTGAATTCAAGTTCATTTAATACTAGCCTGAATTCAGGAAACTTTAACGATCTAAATGCTTCATTTGGTGGAACTAGTGGAAATATGAGTCCTATTGGCCATTCTCCCTCAGCAGAATTCAATTCATCCTTCGATAATGGTGTAAGTAGTCCTATTGGCAGCCCCATTGGAGATATCGGCAATGGATTTGACTTTCCATCTCCTCAATCACAGAATGATGGATTTTCATCAGGTAGGTTAAAGCGATTTGATAATTTTTTACGTCATTAATGGATTCTACTTATTGCAACATTGAATGAAATTATTTATAAATTTACTCAAAAATTGTTTTGCAGAACTATTGCAATGTTCATATATTTGTATAATTTTGTAAGTATTACTTTCTTTTAGTTAATTTAAATAAAATGTTATGAATTATTCAAAAATATTTTAATACAATTCAGTTTTATCATTCTTGAATGCTATAATAAAACAACAAATAGCTATAAATACTAAAAATCTTATGGACATCAATATGTTATATGAAGGAATATGCAGAAGTTTGATATGATGTTAAATAATAACTTAATAGATCATAGATTATATATAATAAATGTAAGGCACGATGGCCGAGTGGTTAAGGCGTGGGATTAGAGTCCCCATGGGCTTGTCCCGCATCAGTTCAAATCTGGTTCGTGTCGTTTTTTGCTTTTTTGATGTTATTTGTTCCTTTTTGAAGATTTTGACCGAAATAGAGAGAAGTTATTGGTTCATTCTTTTATGCAGAAGTGACATAATTGCTTGCTGACGATTCCTTTTGGAATATAAGCCTTGATACAAATAAAAATATTTAGTTTCATTTAAAATAAATGATTTACTATCAATATATTCCATTTTTAAGACTTTTCAACAATTATTAACCAATAATTCAATGCTATTTTCAACGAGATTGATAAATTCCATTGAATTTTTCAAATCATTGAGTAAAGCTTTTGAATTCAGATATTCTAACATCTGTGTAAGTTAGAAAATAGTAATCAAGGAAACGATAGTAGATTTAATTAACACAAAAAAATATACTTTTTCAAATTGATATTATCTAACAGCAACCACGCTTTTCTCTCCTAACACTTGGAGCAAAGCCTTCAGGCGTAATCGTTCCATCAGCGTTCGCAAACATTACAAAAAGTCCGTCAACAGCTTCTCCTGTTTTAGCAGAAGTCTCGAGGAAAGCTGCAGCCTCAATATATTGCATGTATTGCTTTCCTTCTTGGTAAGAAACAGTTCTTTTCGCATCAAGATCAACTTTATTTCCAACAACAAAAATCGGAGTGCCTGGAGGCGCGTTCATTTGAGCAAACTCGTGCCAAAATTTCAGATTTAAGAAACTATCTCTGTTAGTAATATCGTAAATTATAGCAATAGCTGACGCGTTTCTGAAAAAGGAAGGTATAACTGAGTGATATCTTTCGGATCCTGCTGTATCCCATATTTCAACGCTAACTTGCTCATCGTGTACCGTAATTATTTTTGAAAAAAATGCGCCTGCAATAGTTGATGTAAGATTTTCTTGGAATGGTTGGTTAGAAAAGCATCTGAGAAGGGCGCTTTTTCCGACTGAAGCTTCGCCGCATAAAACGCCACGAATCCTTTTCATTTAGTCGCCAGAAAAGTTGTCACTTTTATGGATCCCTTGCAAAATTTCTCAAGATTGAATGATAAATAACTGAAAAATCACACCCATTTGATATAAAATGAAGCAAATAATTTAATTGTACCATTTCTGCTTTATTGGGACAAAGGTTTGATGAGATTCTAGATTTGTTCTTGAATTTCAGCTTACTGAGTCGTCATTATTGAATTTATTTGAGCAGTTAAGATATAATCTGAATAAATATAGATAAAGTGCATAAAATTTGATTGAAGTTTTTGAGAGGACAATCTTTAGAATAGAACGATATCGAATAATGGTATGACTATGGCAAACATATTTGATAAATATGATTAAAAAGAAAAATTTATAAAATCTAATATTTATTTTAAACGAAAACATTGTCTAAGTGTTGATGAAGGTGTTCGATGTACATGTTGAAGTCCGGCATCTTCATGACGTCGTGGAATGTGACAGGTTTCAGCTTCTCGAATCCACAGAACTCGAAAGCTTTGTACACGTTGAACCAGACACCTTCTGCGTGGCGTCCTTCGAAGAACTGAGAAGGATCGTCGAATGATTCTTCTGGTGCATTCCATGTAGAAGATATCATGATGTATCTTCCTTGGCAAAGACCGCCGCTGCCATACTTCTTGCTTGGATCTTTTCTTGTGCGACCGTCATTCCTGTACATGACACCATGTGCGAAAACTTCGTCGATGTATTTCTTAGCACCCCATGGAAGACCCATCCACCAACCTGGTGTCTGAAGGATGACAACGTCAGACCACATGATCTTGGAGACTTCTTCTTCGATGTTGTAGCCTTCGGCCATGTTAGTGACTTTGACTTCGTGACCTTTAGACTCAAGATACTTTTTCGCTTCTTCTGTGAGAGATGTGTTCAACTTTCCTCCTGAGTGTAAGAAGTTGAAACTTGCGTTCAGGATGAGAACCTTTGCTGACTTAAGACTCATGTCTAGATGAAAAATGATTTGTTTTCTTTATCTCTCAATTTGTTTTTAACAATTCTCAAAATTTTTATCTCTCACAAATCGCTTTGAGGGAACTGAACAATTGTAAACTATTCAATGATTCAAATCACGAAATATTGATAAACACAGCATATGTACACTATAATATACAATTATAAAAAAAAAAAAAAAAAAAAAAGGTAGTGGGGCTTCCAGGCACTTCGTGCCTTCTAGCCCTGATGTTGATGTTTAGTATAAATGAAGTTTTTATTCGGAGGACTCTTCTTCTTCCTCCATTGCTTCTGGGAAGAAGCCTTCTTCTGGGTCGAAAACATTATATAATGTGTCGCTTTTCACAAATTATATATGTTTTCATGTTTTGTCACTTTTCTGTCACTTTTCAGGGAAAAACATTTTTATTATTATATATAAATGAATTTTACAAAACCACCGTTACCGTTCTTTGGAAATAAGAGTAAATGTAAAGATATTATATTGAGAGAACTTAAGAAACTACCGAATGGTCTAACATTTGTAGATTTGTTCGGTGGAAGTTTCTATATATCCCATTTGTGCCATATAATATTCCCAGACTCAAAGATTATATGCAATGACTTCGACAACTATATGGACCGTCTCAAACATATACCAGACACAAACAATATATTGAAAGAGTTAAAAGAAAAGATACCTATAGGTAAGATGGAACGTATACCATTAGATAACAAAAATATTGTGAGAGAGGTTTTGAAAAAAGCAGAATATATAGACTGGAATAGTATATCTGCTAGACTATTATATAGTGGTGCTATAAGAGTTCATGACATTGAAACACTTATGTCAAAAGTTTTATATCTTAACTATACAAATGTTTTCAAAGAGGACATAGATAAATATATTGAGGGTATAGAGTTTGTGAGATGTCATTGGACAGATTTGTATGAAAAATATAAAGACAAGGAAAATGTTTTCTTTATAGTGGACCCGCCGTTCTATAACACATGGGATTTTCAATACCAAGTAGACTGGACTTTGAGAGACTCTTTAGAAACTTTAGACGTTTTACATAACCATCCATGCTTTTACTTTACATCCGATAAAAGTGGTTTGGAAACCGTTATGAGATGGTTAGAGGACATACATGACTATGAGTTTATATATGACAAGATAGAATATGAGAGAGGTCCTATAAACTGGAGAAAGTGTCATAACAAAGAAATTTTATTAGTAAGTAAATGTGGTTTGAAATGGGACTACTTGTTTTAGGTTTTTTCCATTGTGTCATTTATTTATTTGACGTGGCAGAAAAGTACAGAGAATATGAAGATGAACCAATGCCTGCAAATGTTCAGTATATGTACTCGTAAGAGATATTTTTATCTAATATTAAATGGACGCACAGAACTTAGCGAATGCACAGCAACCTGGACAACCAAACCCAGAGAATATTCCAAATGAAGTTAGAATACAAACTGCAATGGCAAACTATGGTCAAGTGCCAACAGATGTACAAATGCAAACTGCCATGTCAAATGACGCTGCGTTAGGTTTGCCACCATGGTATGCAAATATGAGATGGAAAGAGTTTTATACAAACCCTGAAGTGGGATATAAACAACTTTATGCAGATGACGCGAACACAGGAGTTGACCCAGAATATGTTTTCTACCAGAGGAGAAACAGAATGTATGAGCTCCAGTTAAAGAATGCTATGGAACTCAACAGGAAACGTAAGAGACTAGGCGGACATTAGATTTTTACATATAGTAAAATGGGTTTCTTCAGTAAGATAGGAAACTTCTTTCGAAATGTTGGAAGAGGTATATGGAATGGAATAAAAACCGTAGGAAGAGGAATTTGGAACGGAGTCAAAAATATTGGTAAAAGAGTAGGTCAGTTTGTTGGTATTATACCTAAAGACCCTGAACCAGAAGAACAAGCTCCTGTTATACAACAGCCTGAACCTGCACCACAGTCTAGTTGGCAACCAAATCCAACACCTCAACCGTATTAAAAAATTATATTTTTACCGTTCGATAGTAGTTGTATATGAAACTAAGTTCTAAGTAAAACGCATGGTATAATGGAATTATTCTTTTTCTTCCATCTGTAGTAAACCATACTTGAAAGTCTGAAATACTTCCACTTGGTGGTTCGTATAACTTTGTAGGTTTTTCGTAAAAGTCATTTGCCAAGCATAAGAAAGAGTTTTGGGCGCCAGAAAATGAAGCATGAACAATAATAGCAGCTGGGTCGAAAACATCTTTAAATAAATATGGTTCATCTCTTGCATATCGACTGTAAATATTTGCTAAAGGAAGTTCGACTTTCTGATTTAACATTCTTTGCAAATAATACCATGACATTGCAGTGAATTCTGTATATATTTGTTGTCTTTCTTTGGATTGTCTTCGTAGATTTGAAATGACACTTGTGAATTTTGTTTGTCATATACAATTCTCACATAAAGTGTGCTCTCGGTATTTGCATATTCATCAGCATATTTTGCATAACATGAATTTATTTTATCTTCTATATTTTTTAACGCAGTCTGTAGAGAAGATGAAAGGTCAACTTGTATTAGCTCAATTTCTTCCCACATTTTTCGTTTCCCTTCAGATATATAATCTATATGAAACCTTACAATAAATGGAAAACTTTTATCTTCTACAGACACAAACTTCATTCTACGAAAGCCAATAGCTTTTGTGACAGATGGGTCTCTTAGCCATCTTAATGGGTAGTCAAAACAATAGCCTTCATGCTTTACGGTCTTTGTCTCAAACTTTTGACCGACATTAGTAAAAAGTTCATCTAATGGTTTAGTTGTAGCAACTCTTGAATTTTCTTTTTCTATTGAAAGCATATTTTATCTAGAATAAAAATGTCGAAAGATATTGCTTCCATGAGAGAAATACAACACAACCGACAACTCATTATGCAAGCTCTAAATAAGAACACAACAAACTTTTCAAACTATTCTAAGATATCTGAGTCATTGAAAGAAGGAAACTTAAAACTGACATTAAACCCAATGACAGATGAGTTTCTATTTCAAGACAAGAAGAACAATACTGTCTGTATAAATCCAACAAAAGGAACTTTAAACGAGAAACCTATAAATGAACTTCTTTTGAAAGCAGATGTTGACAACAAAGCTGACAAAGAATATGTAGACGATGCAATAGCAAAAGAAGAAGAAAGAGCTAACAATGCTTATGCAACAAAAGAACATACTCATCCTGAACTAGCAGACAAAACATATGTTGACAATAAAATGTCAAGTGAAGTGACAAGAGCTGAAAACGAATATTCTAAAAAGACTCATACACATTCTATATCTGAAATAACAGACTTAAACGTTAGCCTTGAAAATAAGGTAGATAAGGGACTTATGGCTAGTGCGTTAGAGAAGAAAGCAGATAAGGAATATGTTAACGAAAAAGATAAAGAAATTATAGAAAGGGTTGACTGGTACCATGAATGGACATCGAAGACTTTTAAAGTTAAAGCCGATACAGGATGGGTTTCAGGATGTTTAGACCTTAAAGCAGATAAAACTTATGTTAACGATGAGTTAGAGAAGAAAGCAGACAAGAACCATACACATACAAGTTTTACAACTGTTGCTATAGAAAGTATTGAAGGAACGGTTGACGTAACTGGTGGGGATGTATTATATTGTAAACCTCCTAACTTTCCACACGGTTTAACATCGGATAACGACATAACGACGATGAGAAACATTAGATGTAAAGATGTTATGTCATGAAGGATGAATATAATACTAAATTCACTGCTCAAGATTTATATGACAAGAAAGCAGACAAAACAGAGCTTCAAACATTAAAGACAGAAATGCTTCAAACATTATATCCTATAGGCTCTATTTATACGTCAATGAACTCTACCAGACCAGAAGTAGTACTTGGTTTTGGAACTTGGACTCAAATAGTCGACAGGTTTTTGTATTGTGCAAACTCTTCAAAGGAAACAGGTGGAAGTAAAACGATTTCAGGTGAAAATTTACCTGCACATAGTCACTACATAGATTTAAGTACATCTCAAGCAGGTTGGCATAAGCATAAATTTTGGGATTGGTCAGCAATGAAAAAAGGTAAAGGATATGATGTTAAAGACGACGTTCAGTTTGCTATAAATTGTTTCTGGGGTGACACTCAGGGAGATGGAAACCATACACATCGCGTTTCAGGATATACGCAAACAACGGGACAAAGTAAAGACTACATGCCACCTTACATGACAGTTTACGCATGGTATAGAAATGCTTAGTCGTCATTTTCAACTTCTTTAGCATATTCGTCAGGAGTTGTCTTATATTTGTTAGGAACTGTCTTTGAAAGTATACCACCTTGAACTTTGACAAGTTTGAAACGAGGTCTGACAATAGTAGTTTTATCTTCTGCTTGCAGTGTGTACATTTTGCCATGTTTGCCTAAAACTTCATAATATTCTCTTGTATACTTTCTTCTATTTTACGAACACGAATGTGAGTACCTGTCGGGTTCCCATTGTTGTCATAGTCAATAGTATTTTCATATGGGTCGCGTTTAGGTATTTCTATTTTTACTTTGTCACCTTTCTTAAGTTTGAAGCCGGCATTCTTTCTTGTTTTCTCTTTTGACTAAATTATTAAATATATAGTCTTTCTCTAAGTCAGGGTTGTTTTTCATTTCTTCAGGGGAGTGGTTTCCCAAACCTTTTTGTTTACGGTTATTGTAAATATTTAAAACTTGTCTCATCTTTGCCATGGAGAAGTGTCTATATTTGTCGTCATATGACATTTCATTTGCTTCACCACCTTGTGGTTGGTTTAAGTCTCTTAACATTTTTATACAACCGTCAATGACACCAAGAGCAGAATGGTTTTGGTCGACAATGAAATATTGGTTTACATTTTTTGAACGCAGATAGTTTTTAATATCATCTGATTTGAAAGAACTTTCACAGTCAGATGTCAGTTTTGTTGGATGGTATTTGTC